GGCTGCTACAGTGGAGTTTTCATCAGGGATGTGGCCCCTGAGAGCACACCCATGATATGGCCCTATATCTATGGCACATACCAGTAGCACTAAGTGGACTCAGTAGGTTAAAAAAAAAAAAAGCACATGAAGTTGGGAAGGAAAAATTGTGGGGAAATAAGGGAAGGGTTAGAGAAGAGGGACCAGGGGATGAATTTGATCCAAAGGCATTATATGCATTATGAAATTCTCAAACAATAAAAAAAACTAAAGTTCTTTATTACATTTGTTTATTTGGGGGAGGGCACATATATAGAGGTCAAAGAATAACTTTCATGAGTTAATTTTCTCCTTTCACCATATGGATCACAGGAATTGAGCCCAGATCCTTAGGCTTGGTGACAGGAGCCTTTACCCACTAAGTCATCTATCTCATCAATCCTAGACGATTTTTTTTATTAAAAACTAGTTTTGGGGGGCTGGAGAGATGGCTCAGCAGTTAAGAACACTGACTGCTCTTGCAGAGGACACAGGTTCGATTCCCAGCACCCACATGGCAGCTACGAACCGTCCCTAACTCCAGTTCCAGGGGAATCTGAAGCCCTCTTCTGACTTCCATGGCATTGCACGACACAGGTGCACTTACATACACATACATGCAGGCGTTACACTCATACACATAAAATAAAAATAATAAAATATTTTTTTAAAAAAACTAGTTTTTGCCAGGCATAGTGGTGCACTCCTGTAGTCCCAGCACTTTGGAGGCAGAGGCAGGAGGATCTCTGTGAGTTCAAGGCCAGCCTAGTCTACATAGTGAGTTCCAGGACAGCTGGGGCTACAGGGAGACCCTGTTTCAAAAAGACAATAAAAACTAGTTTTTGTTACAGTTTTAGGCTCATAACAAATTGAAAGTATTGAGACTTTTCTATTTCCGTGTCCCTAAACACTAATAGCCTCTATCAAATATGCCCCACCAGAGTAGTGTATTTGGTTTGGGGTTTTTTTTAACATTTTATTATTTTTGTTATATGTGTATGAGTGTATTGCCTGCATGTATATAAGTGCACCCGTGTCATGCAATGTCCAAGGAGGTAAGAAGAGGGCATTGGATCCCCTGGAACTGGAGTTACAAATGGTTGTTACCTGCCATGTGGTTGCTGGGAACTAAACCTGGATACTCTACAACAGCGGCGAGTACTCTTAACCACTGAGCTACCTCTCTAGCCCCAATTTTTAAAATTTATTTTTAAGTTTATGAGTGTTTTGCCTGCATGTATGTAAGTGTGTCACATGTGTGCAAACCCACGGAGGCCAGACAGGGTGTTGGATCCCTTAGAACTGGAGTTAGAGATGTTGTTAGCCATGTGGGTGTTGGAAATTGAACTCAGGTCTCTGGAAGAACTGCCAGTTCTCTTAACCACTGAGTCACATCTCTCCAGCCCCAAGAGAGTGATGCATTTGTTATAACTGAAGATCATATGAGTTTACAAAATAATCTCTCCAAATACATAAGTTACATGAATGTTCACTCTCAGTGTTATGCATTCTATGGGTTTGAACAAATGTATATTGATATATACTCAGCATTATAGAATCATGAATAGTAGTGTAATCTCCCTAAAAATCCCTATATGCTCAGCTGGGTATGGTGTGCACACTTGTAATCCCAGCACTCAAGAGATAGAGGCAAGATTGCAAGTTCAAATCCAGTCCAGTCTGAACCACATATTCATCCCCAAAAGGTTAGGTTCCCAGCACCCATGTTGTGCAGCTCATAATCACCTGTAACTCCAGCTCCAGGGGAATCCAATGCCCTCTGCTGACTTCTGTGGGCACTACACTCACATGCATAATCTCTCTCTCTCTCTCTCTCTCTCTCTCTCTCTCTCTCTCTCTCTGTCTCTCCTCTCTCTCAATTTTAAATAAAATTTTTGCTAGGCATGGTGGTGCACACCTTTAATCCCAGCACTCAGGAAACAGAGGCAGGCAGATCTCTGTGAAATCAAGGCCAGTCTAATCTACATAGCAAGTTTAAGGCCAGCTGGGACTACAGGGAGACCTTCTCTCAAAAAATAAAAAATATTTATTACAAAAAAAGTCTATATGGGGCTGGAGAGATGGCTCAGCAGTTAAGAACACTGACTGTCCTTGCGGAAGACCTGGGTTCAAATCCCAGCACCCACATGGTGACTAACAACTGTCCTTAACTCCAGTTCCAGGGGATCCAACACCCTCTTCTGTCCTCTGAGGACACTGCATGACACAGGTGCACTTACACACATGCAGGCATAACACTCATACACATAAAATAAAAATAAAGTCTAGCAACCACTGATATCTTTTTAAATATCTTTTTCATATTTTTATTAAATTTTTAAAATTTTATGTGTATGAGTGTAAGTGCACCTGTGTCATGTAATGCCCACAGAGGACAGAAGAGGGCATTGGATCCCCTGGAACTGGAGTTATGGACAGCTGTTAGCTGCCATGTAGATGCTGGGAAACAAACCTGGGTCCTCTGCAAGAGCAGCCAATACTACTGCTGAGCCATCTCTCCATCCCCAATCACTGATATCTTTACTGTCTTCATAGTTCTTTTCCAGAAAGTCACATAGTTGGAATCATATAATGTGTAGCCTTTTTAGTCTGGCTTCTTTCATTGAGCAATATGCATGTAACTTCTCCATGTATTATCATGCTGTCCTAGTATGGTTTCTGTATTGCTGTGATAAAACACTGACCAAAACAAACTTGAGGAGGAAAAGATTTATTTGGCTTATACATCCTGATGACAATTCATCCTTGAGGGAAGCCAGGGCAGGAACTCAGGGCAGGAATCTGGAGGCAGCAACTGAAGCACAGACCACAGAGGAATGCTGCTGACTGGCTTGCTCATCTGGCTTGTGCTCAGCCTACTTTCTTATACAACCAAGGACCACCTGCCCAGGTATGGTCCAGCCCACCCACATCATTCAACAATTATGAAAATGCCTCACAGACATGCATACAGGCCAATCCAATAAAGACAGTTCCCCAATAGAATGTCAAATTGACAATTGACACACACTTATCCAGCACAAATACCGCCCTTATTTTAACACTACATAATATTTCATCTGAGAATGTACCACAGTTTACTTAACCACCCGTGCTGAAAGACATCATGGTTGCTTGCAAACTTTGGCAATTATGAATAAAGCTGGTATAATCATGCATGTACAGGTTTTAATGGGGACAAAAGTTTTCAGTTCCTTTGTGTAGATACCAAGGAGCAGAGCATGTGACTACTAAGGAGAATCATGAGTTCAAGGCTACACAGTGAGACCCTGTCCTAAAAAGCAAAAAACAGCTAGGCATGGTGGTGCATGCCTGTAATCCTAGCCTTTGGGAGGCAGGAAGAGGATAAAACATTCAAGTTCATCATGATGAGTTTAAAGGCCAGCCTGGGCTATGTGAGACCCTCTTCTGGCCTCTGCATATACACACACAAGCATGCAACACACACACACTTTTTAAAATAAAAAGATATTTATCAACCTATGTTCATAACCACATTGTTCAAATATTCAAAGGTAGGAGTGACATAAATATCAATCAATAGATGAACAAAATGTGATGCACGCATCCGATAAGGTATGAGTCAGCCTTTAAAGGGGAAACCTGACACATGCTACAACATGAACTTCAAAGAAGTAAGACAGTCACCACAACACAGGTATTGGACATTCCACTCAAAGGAGGCATCACTGGTATGAATAGCCAAATTCAAAGACAAAGAACAGTGGTTGTCAGGGGCTCAAGGAAGAAACAAAGAATTACTATTTAATAGGTAGAAAGTTGCAGCTTTGCAAGCTGAAAAGTGTAAGTGTAGTTAATGTCACTTTAAAACTAGTTTAAAATGGTGAATTTATGTCGTGTCTATTTTACCATAATTTTAAAAATCTTAGAATTGCAGTTAAAAATAAAATGCTGGGCTGGAGAGATGGCTCAGCAGTTAAGAGTACTGACTGCTCTTGCAGAGGACCCAGGTTTGATTCCCAGCACCCACATGGTGGCTACCAACCATCCTTAACTCCAGTTCCAGGGGAATCCAAAACCTTCTTCTGACCTCT